TGGCCGAATTATAATTGGCCACGTGTAAAAAATGATTTTGCAAAAAATGTTTGTTCAGAATTTTGAATTTTTATTATAAAAAAAATAATGACGTGGCTGAATTATAATTGGCCACGTGTAAAAAATGATTTTGCAAAAAATGTTTGTTCAGAATTTTGAATTTTTATTATAAAAAAAATAATGACGTGGCTGAATTATAATTGGCCACGTGTAAAAAATGATTTTGCAAAAAATGTTTGTTCAGAATTTTGAATTTTTATTATAAAAAAAATAATGACGTGGCTGAATTATAATTGGCCACGTGTAAAAAATGATTTTGCAAAAAATGTTTGTTCAGAATTTTGAATTTTTATTATAAAAAAAATAATGACGTGGCTGAATTATAATTGGCCACGTGTAAAAAATGATTTTGCAAAAAATGTTTGTTCAGAATTTTGAATTTTTATTATAAAAAAAATAATGACGTGGCTGAATTATAATTGGCCACGTGTAAAAAATGGTTTTGCAAAACCACCGTTAAAAATAATGGCATGAATGAGCCTTTTCTTAAACGGTAATGGCATAGATGAGCCAAACTTTTAACGGATGGCATAAATGAGCCTTTTCTGAAAATTCGATGGCATATTTGAGCCTTTTCCCATTAATATATATGATAGTGAAATATGTCTAATTATATAGTTTCTCTTTATTAATACTTACACAATTTCAATCAGCTATCAAACAACCCCCAATTATATTAATAAAAAATGACTATAAAAAAAACCATTAACAATTTTATATCTCAAAATCTAAAAGAACAAACTTCAAATGAAAATATAATTCTTTTTTAAAAAAAAAAAGAAGTTAAGACTCTTATTTAATTTTAACCTTAAATCATAAATGTACTTGAGCCCCCCGTCCCATCATAAGTTGGAACCTTTTCCACTCGAATGAAAGAAACACCTATTTGCACGTTTTAATATAAGTTAAATTGTTGTGTGTCATTTGTGCTAACTACTGAACTTTTACGAAGTTTTGACTCCCATCACCATTGGCTTTTTATATATTGAATTTTATATATTTCGTAGAATTATAAGTTGTCAAGTGGGCCAGGTCGGGTCTCCACTAGAACCAACTCGGAAGCACATAAGATAGGGACCTTATTCTCATTTTACTTCTTCTATCATCTAAGTTTGAGTCAACGTGAAATTTAAAAAGATCTTTTAATTTTATGATGTGAATTAAGTTCTTATCTTTGGTGCGCGATAGAACAGTTTGGTAGCTAGAAAGGTAAAAACTATATTTTTTGAAATATTAATCTTTTAAAAGCAAATTTTATTGCCTTCAAGGCCACATCGAAATAGCAATAGTCGCTTAAGTAACTATTAAATATTAATAATATTTTCACTTCATTAAATCACTTAATCGTATTTAAATAGTTTATGTTATTTACTTTATTAATTACTTAATAATAATAATAAATTTTGAATTATTAATTTGTATGTTATATTCTTATGGAGGACTATACTAACTATATCATTTTAATTTTATCGACAATCTTGAAGAGATAGTAATTTTTCCACTTTGACGTCCACTACAACAAAATAAAGTAAAATATTTAGCGACAATTGAGTTAATGTCACTGTATCGAGAGTTGCTAAAACATTTAACGCCATTTATCTAGAATTTTGATTATAAATGCTCATATTTATTATTATCATTAAATATAATATAACTGTAATTTTATTATTGTCCCTAAATAATTGCTGCAAAATCTTTTATTTATCGTAGTGATCCCAATCCACGGTCCTAATTAATATGGAAACACTTTTGTGATTATTATGTAATGTTGAAACTTGGCAACACAATTTAGCTAGAGTTTGTCTATAGATTTTTAAATATTTTTGAAAAAAAAAACGGATTTAACTGAAGTTTGGATTAAAGTTTCTTTTGGTCAGGGTTGGGCTTACTAGGAGGGGGCTCAAGAAAGGTTTTTTTTATTGGGCTCCAAAAACTGGTCTGCTAAGTGATCGGTCCAGGCCCATTAGGAGACCGGCCGATGACCGCAAGTGAAATTGGCCTTAAACTATGTGACATTAATTAAAAATGCTCCTAGAGTAATCATTTTGTCGAAAAATGTCTTTGTTGTCAATAATTTGATCCAAAAATGTCTCTACTGCTAACAATTAAAAGAGAATAAGTTAATATACCTTTTTAATTGATTATATTATTATTATTATTATATAGTTAGATGATAGTAATCCATTATTAATTTTCATTTCGATGACAATAAAAAAAATCTAATAAAATAGAAAATATTTGATTACTTCTTTTCCGAATTGAAGTAGGATAAATAAGTTAATTAAGAAGTCATTATTAGGAAAATAATGTGTTTAAAAAGAAAAAAAATCATGTGTTTGAAAAATGAATTTATGACCCATTAAATAACAATAGAGACATATTTATAATATGCTATGGACGACAATGATATTTTCAGATCAAATTAATAATTGAAGAACAATTTTGACTCTTTTACGGAAAAAGAATAATAATAATTTCCATCTATTTTCTGACCGCCAGCTAATGATAGAAAATAAAGATCTTTGAATCTTTATAGGTCTTAAATTAAAACAACATACAATGTATCAAAATAATCTTTAATCTTGTTGTCAGTAACTATTTTCCATTGTACCAACAAGTATAGAATTGCAAACCTTGTGCTAAGTCACTATTTACAACACATACTTTTTTCACATTAATATCCTTCAATATGATTCCAAGAAAAAATGAGACAAAAAACACCAAAACTATCAACAAAAGAGTTGACAACCACTCTCTCATTTCTATCTTCTGCTCAACATCAGACAGTTCCATCATGGTCAACTTGAATGAGTCCATCCTGGTGATGAAGTTCTTCACACACTCGGATACAACAGACGTAGCACGGTGCTCTATTGTAGCAGGCACTCCAGAGGTTACGAGTCGGTTCAGGGCAGCAGAGCAGTTCATTTTGTAGGCATCATGAAATTGTTTAATGTTAGGTACAGTATCCTTTAATATCAAAGATAGGATCTTGAAATGAGAAATCAGTTTCTGGCATTCAGTTTCATAATCAGCCGGTGAAATGATGTCACGAACAAAAGCTTTCTCTAGCTTCTCCATTGCTGTAATGATTGCAAAGAGCTCAGCAACATCGTCATACATTTCCCTGTCATTCCACAACTTAACATCCATAAGAGTTTGTAGGTAATGTTTTGAATGAGGTAACCTTTGTCGAATGGGACACGCGCAAAGATGCTAATATTTGTTACTGCATAAACATCAAATCTAGGTTACATCCTGTCAATTCATGACCAACATATTCTATATGTACTAAACTTTCATCTCAAACTAATTACATGCATACAAGCACCTAGATGTATAAGTTTCGTAACAAGCTAATACTACTATATTTTATTTTGATAACGGTGTGTGTTCACGCCAGCTTACGTGCACCTCAGACCAATTTCATGTGATAACTGTCACCTCTCACCAGCAACAGGTACCAAGTAAGTAACTCTATCTATCAAGGCTAGGACTGATGGAAAGAAATCATCTAGTGTTTTTGTCTCTGTTGGGATTTGAACTAGACACCTCATGATTCTCACCGACTTCATTGAGCACTAGGCCACACCCTTGGGTGCTAATATATATTCATGTTATGTAATTGAAAAGTCCATCATTTCGTTGAGAACAGCAAAGTGTGAAATCAAGTTAAATCATTGGTTAGATAAGAAAATTTTGAATGTTCTGAGAGGTGAAATATTAAGCAATTGTTATTGATAAGAGAGTAAATAACAGGACAACAGATATGCCAAGATAATCCATCTATAGCACCAGAATTCTGAATGTGGACAAATACGTTCAGACCAGCCCACAAGTACTGCAAAATATCTTCCTATAGATGCTAGTCACAAAACTCAGGAGCAAGTACTGTATATTTCATTCCTCTACTTGCTAGCCACAAGCTTTCTTAGCTTTGATTAGAAATACAGAAAGCATCTAAACGAAAAACTACAGGACTTAAATTGCGTGAAGTTGTCCCAACATGTTTGAAGGATATTGCTCTGGTTCAGCACGGTTGCAAAATACCTTATGCACTATATAGCAAACGAAACAACTACCAAGAAAAAATTCGCAAATGCTACTAAGTTTGATCATTTTAATATAGTCCACTGATGAGAAAGTTCTTGTCACAATAGCATTAGCAACACATAAAAGCAAAGCCAAACTTCACAAGCAAATAAACAAGTTATCAGGTTAAATTTTGTCTCCGCCATCATTACTCCTGCAAAGCTTCTTAAATCCCTTCAAATTGAGAAAACTTGCTATTGCTTTCAACCATAGACTATGAAACTATCAAGCTAAAAACTGAGTTCTTGAAGCTTGTATTACCAAACTCACTTGGATAATACTCCGTCAACTTCACTTTTCTGTTCTTGTTGAAATTAACAAATGAATCAACCGGATTTGAATATCTAAACCTTGGCAAGCAAAGTTACTTGGTATATGTATTGGTTGAATATAATAAGTATGTGTTAGATTACTCGAGGTGCACGCAAGCAAATTCATACACCAGTCTTATTTAAGAAAATGTGAAGTGTGAAGAAGTAAAAGAACCTAAAGAAAACGAAATATAATCATAATGAGCTCTAACACTAATGTCAAGATCAAGTCTAACCATCATACTTGAACAAAAGAAAGTAAACCTCAATAAATTGAAACCTAATTTGAGCAAAGACAAACATTAATACATCCTAGAGAACAATGTTCTGCATTTTTTTTGGGCATAATACATAAATATGTCATTTAACTTGGTCTCAACTCACATTTATGCCCTCCAACTCCTTGTATGCACTTAAACTTGTATAAAGTTGAATAAATAGTCTATCAACCCACAAACAAACAAACAAACACAAATGGCGGGGCCACATGTATTCAAGGGGTATCGCCTTAAAAATTATACTATGTAACTAGGTATCTATCACCTTCCACTAGTAACACGTACCTGCCACGTGTAGTCAAGGGGTGTTGTCAGAAAGATTACACTATGTAGCCTGTCAACCCCCACCAATAAGAGGTACCAAATAACCTAGAGCTTTTGCCTATTTGAATCTTCTGAGACTTCATGGTTCTCAACTTACTTAATTCACCATTAGGTCACAGCCTCGCGTATGGTATACTCCAATGCATTTTCACACCACATAGTGAAAATCTTAATTCCGCAACGATTTATGCCAAGAACAAATCACACCATCTACATGAGCAAAGAACGTAAACCCACCAACCCCCACCCCAAACAAATTGATTTGAACAAAGAGAAATATTGATATATGGTAGAGAACAATATAACAAAATAACGTTTACAGTGTTCGAACGAACTCAATAACTACAACAAATTCAGAAGCTATAAACACAAAATAAATAACAAAAAATTGCGAGAATTGAAGCATATATAAAAACAATTAGGTGATTGATGAAAGTGTACCTGAGAGCCAAGGAAATTGAATTTCCAAAGAGAGTTATAGAAGTTGCAGGCAATTGAGTTATTTTATTTTTGGGCAGTTACCCCTATAAGGAATGTAATATTTTTTAGGAAATTTTTTTAAAATAGTTTTATTTGGAATTTATTATTTCAATTCTTAATTTAATTTATATACATATGAATTTTAATTGTGTCTTTTTGCACTCCTTTGGAATAGGAAAAGTTGGATCATTGGTGTATAGATTTGATTCGAACCAACTGATTGTGATAGCATGATAGGGTAACTTCAATATGTATATAAAAAAATTATTGCGTTTATAAATGTTATCGTATACATAAAGTTTATTTTATAGGTGATTAATTATAAGTTATTGATGTATCTATCAAAAATAATATCATCCTAATTCAAAGTATTTTGATATATATATATAACCAAATTTATATACATAATATTGACTGTGTATATATATCTTTTAAGGAAAAAAAACGTGCAAAATCAATATACAAAATTAATGTGAAATTTAAGTTAGCTAAAAAGGAAGATTCACAATTGAAATGAACTTTTATACGGAGAGATTTTTGAGGAGAAGAAATATAATTTGAAAAGAACCAACCATTTTTTTTTATATATTTTTACTGAACTTATCGGTATGTGGTAGAGTTACTATGAAAATGTAGGATAAAAGTGAAACATAATTATTAAATAATAAATTTAGATAAAATGATAAGAAAATATTAAGGTAAAGTATAATCACACAAAATCAATTATTACATCTTTTCGGAGTTAAAATAACAATAAAAACAAACAACTTATCTAAACTAAAAATACAATACAAACTGGTAACAACCATCGAGGTGTTAATTATTAAAAAGATTTAATTCATTTCCAATGATTAATTGGTAACCAATAAGTCAAATTTGAGGTTGAATTATGGTTATGACTTATGGTTGATTTTGTTATCCTTGTTTTTTTTCTTCTTATATCTATTGTCTTCATCACTTTGTATTTATCTGCAAGACTCTTTTTTGTTTTTTGTTTTTTGTTTTTGTGCAGGCAGCCCTAAACCCCAAGTGCAAATCTTGTAAATTCCTCCATTTTTTCTCAAGATGGATTGGTGGGTGTCAATGCCAAAAGTTGAACTACATGCCCACCTCAATGGCTCCATCAGAGACTCCACTTTGATGTATGTTCTCTATTTCTTCAAATTCTTCTGTATATTGAAAAGTTTTTACTACATATTCCTATCTGTTGACTTCTTGCTTGATTCCATGAAAAAAGGAAGAAAAAAAACAGATTTTTGGGTGTTATTCTTGTTTCCCCCATTTTTATAGTTGTGGATTGAGTTTCCCACATTGGCTAAGTGATGGGGTTGATTTGGTTTCTTTATATGCCTTGGACAATCCTCTGCCTTTACGGCTTGAGTTAGTTTACACTTGTTTGTCCAAATGGTTGACCTTGTCATCGAGTTGAGTCATTGGATCCTTGCATAATATGGAATGTCTAAGGTTTTTTTTTTTACGTGGAGAACTTATTGGACTGTTGCGAGGTGTGTGTAAGCTGACTCAGATACCACGGTTATCCAAAAATAGAAGTCAGGCATACCCAATATAATCCTACAAAGTGAGGTATGAGAGGATAGAGTGTACGCAGACCTTATCCCTAGCTCAGAATAAAAAAATAGTAACATGATAGTACTACAACAAAATAATACGATAGTCAAAATATAAGAAACAACATATAGTAATTAAAATCAAAGGACAAGAAACTATAAGAGTATTACTAGGACTAGTAGTATGTACGAACAACAAGACAAGGCACTCCTACCCACTAACCTTCTACCCTAATCCGTGCCCTTCACAATCTCCTATCGAAGGTCATGTCCTTGGTAAGCTGAAAGTTGAAACAACATATTGTCGTATCACCTCTCTCCAATACTTCTTCGGTCCAACTTTAATGATTAAATCAACCCTATACTGACCATTTTGTTTATTTTCTCCTGCTGGAACATATAAATACAATCTTCTTAATGATCAAAAAAAAAAAATTCCTTTGAAAAATAAAAAAGAACTTCAATTTTCAGTCAATTACCTTGTTTTTTCTTGTCATTCCATTGAGTTGGCATTTTTTCTTGCTTTAGTCGTATTTTCCAAAAAATTATGTGGATTCAATCTTTATTTTGCAGGGAACTTGCTAGAGAATTGGGTAACAGGGGGCTCGTACATTTTCCTGATGTGGAACGTGTTATCTTAAAACGTAAGCCAATTTTCTTCTTGTACTTTTCACAATAATATGTCAAGCTCCTTTTTTTTAGTATCTTGAAACTTGCCTCCTCTTTGTGATTCAGATGATCGCTCCCTTACTGAAGTCTTCAAAATGTTTGATTTGATTCACATTCTTACAACTGACCATGAAACTGTAACCAGAATTACTAAAGAGGTACTCTATTAGTGCAGTAGTCCAAACTTCATATCATGCAATGTATGTTGCAATTATTTGATTCTTTTTGTTATTACCATGAAAAATAGGTAATTGAAGATTTTGCTGCTGAAAATGTTGTATACTTGGAGCTAAGGACAACTCCAAAGGTACTTGAACTTTATCATCAGCTTGATCAGTAGGCTCCTAATTTAGAGCATTATTGTGCTGCTTGTTGTTACAATGGATATACATTGAGAGAATTATAACAAGTCAACTGTCAGCTGGAGTGGACTTGGCATTTAGAATCGAATTTAGCAAGCATAGCTGGTTGAATTAAGTGAACCAGATACTTGACATTTTTTTTTTGATGTTAGCTTCATTTAACTATACACTAGTTTTTCGATATAGTTATTTGGTGAAAGGGTATAAAAACAGGAAATAAAGATATGGCACATGGGGTTAACTCAAGATTTCCCAAGTCCATATAAGCATACCATCATTCCATTCTCCAACCAATGTGGGACTCTAACTCACTCTAACAATATGCAAATGCATCTTTACACATTTGATCTCATGTATTCTGTTATTGTGGCTAAGTTCATGATTTGCGTGTTAAAGCATATATTAGGTGTGAGTCTAGAAGGTCTCTTCACACCTATAAAAGCGTACTTTGTAATGTTGTAATGTAAGAGTGGGGTTTTGTACATATTATTAGTGTGCTTTATGTTTATCTCCCTTTTCCATCCTCCTCGTGCCTGATGATATTGTGAAGGTCCCACCTTATATTCCAACAGTTTCATCGACTAGTTCAGAACTGCAAAAGGATCCTTCACATATGTACTGTTCTAGCTCATTCATAAGAGACAATCATGATATGTAAAGATCTTATTTTTGACATGTCTTTTCTGAATGCAGAAAAATGTCTCCAAAGGGATGAACAAGAAGTCATACATGGAAGCAGTTTTGGAGGGTTTAAGGGCTGTTAGTACCGTCGAAGTTGATATTTTTAGTGAACCTAATTTTGATTGTCCTGCTAGTGCCGCTATTTATGCTCGGAACAATGAATGTGCAAGCAATGGAACAGGAAAAAAGAAAATATATGTCAGACTTCTACTCAGTATTGATCGTCGTGAAACCACAGAAGCTGCAATGGAAACTGTATGTTTCTGAATCTGATGCACAAAGAGGCTAAAAGTTGATATTTAGCTTAAAGTCCAAGGCTTGATAACTTTTTTGTGGTTGGTGAAGGTTAAGCTTGCTCTGGAAATGAGACATTTGGGAGTTGTGGGTATCGACCTTTCTGGCAATCCTATCATTGGTGAATGGTACTATTTTGCGTGTAAAAAGTTTTCTATTGCATATTATTCTTGTCTTGCATTGTCGATAGACTAATAAAATAAGGTTTGAATTTTTTTGATACTTTTTCACTTGTAGGCTAACCTTTCTTCCTGCTTTGGAGTTTGCTAAAGAGCAAGGACTTCTGATTACCCTTCACTGTGGCGAGGTGCATCTGGCTTCACTAGTTTGTCCAGCTTTTTTCAGTGTCACACCGTAATCTCTCTGATTGGTGTATTTGGTACTTAGTGCTATTAGGTACCCAATCAGGTGGAAATCCATGCAATGCTAGATTTTCTTCCCGCAAGAATTGGCCATGCTTGTTGCTTTGGAGAAGAAGAATGGGCAAAGCTAAAATCCTTAAAAATACCGGTGAGAAATTTCGCATGTGTATTTCCAGATTTCTAGGATATCCATTTTTGATACAATGCAATCACACATATTAATGATTGAGCAAATACTTTACCAAATTTCCTACTCTACCCTAGAATGGCCTGTATGCAAGGTCAGATTTCTCCTTTTCCTTGATACCCCCACGTATTTGCTGGGTAAAGAAAGCTGCTAGATATTTCCATCTAGAATACCACCTAGTGTTGTCAAAGGCATGGTTAAAGTGCACTTACGCCTTGAAGCGAAGTGCAAAACATGTTGAGCGAATGTGTGCTTTAGTGTCATCATCACTCTAGTACATACTTTTCGTTGCCAATGAGCCTCTCCTGAAGAGGAGATACCAAACAATTGATATTTCACTTTATTGTATTTTTTTTTCCAGTTTCTTTGTCCATATATTTGTTATTTATGCTTATTATTATTAGTCTTGGACTAAACATATATATTTGTAATTTTTTTCTTCCTATGCACTCTTTTTCATTAATCCCCTTGCTTTATTTGAAGCTTGATGCCCCAACAAAGCTTAGAGCTTATGTGTGCTTTTCACTTTTGATAACACTGATACCACCATCATGGACAAGATGCAGAATCTTTTTTAGGCCTTGCCATGTTTTGATGATGGATCGAAGTTCTGTTGGCCTACTGATCCTTCGAGTTTTGTCACATTTTGTTTTCTGTCATTGTAGGTTGAAATTTGCTTGACTTCCAACATCAGGACCGAAACAATATCTTCTTTGGATATTCATCATTTTGGTGAGGCTTCTGATCCTCTCTAGATTGTGCTTTGTACTGTTGTTACTCATGATCTTTGACAAAGGCATTTCTTATGAACCGTAACTACTTTGAAGTGTGTGCATAACCTTAGCTTTGACTTGCAGCGGATTTATATAATAGTGGACATCCAATTGTCCTCTGTACTGATGACTCGGGGGTATTCTCTACCAGCGTATCTGGCGAGTATAGTCTTGCCTCTTCTAGTTTTGGTATGTTTTACTTTATGCAAACATGCGTAGTTTGGCTTTAGATTATGGTCTCACTAACTTTTGTTTTTTACATTATAAAGGTATACAAAGGAGAGAGATGTTCCAGCTGGCTAGGAATGCTGTTAATTTTATTTTTGCTGGTAATAAAGTAAAACAGGAGCTGGAGCAAGTATTTGATTTAGCTGCAAAGACCCTGGAGTTCTGATGAAGAATATTGAAAACTGAAATGGGGTTTTTAAATGGAACTATATTGACATTGAAGATTTATATAATCGACTCCAACTTGCTTGAGATTGAAGTGTTTGTTATCATTGCTCATGCCACTTATTCCTTCTATGATATATGTTGGTTATGAAACAATACATATTGGCTACTTGTAATCAAAACTGGCTCTATATTCAAATTATCGACTACTTCTCTACCTTAGTATTTTTCAAACCTGGTTTGAGTAATGTTTTTATTGAGCCGAGGGTCTTTCGATTTTTGTCACTATCTATTATTTTTTATATTTCGATTATCGTATTATTTGTTGTAGTTACTGTTCTTTTTTTCAGACTGGTTTGTTATGTTTTCTGTTGTATGTTGCTATGCCTTCTTCACTTCCGTCATTTCTTTTTCGAATCCGAGGGTCTAATTGGAAACATTCTCTCTATCTCCTAAGGTAGGGGTGAGACACTCTATCCTTTTCAGATCTTACTCATGGGATTACACTAGGTATGTTGTTTTTATTATTGTCATTCGGAAACTTCTCTACCCCATGGGATTACACTAGCTGCGCGTACGCCCAACCCTCCCTAGACCTCTACTTATGGAATTATACTGGGTTGTTGTTGTAAAAAGATTAGGTAAAGACTGCAAATTTAGTAAGTGCCAAAGGAGCACAAACACAACACTTTAAGTACTTGTTTTTTGGACATAACTATGCAAGAGCCTTAGCTTTTAACTAAAGCATGTCTATAATGTTCCTTAAAGTGAAAACAATATGATCCCAACAACACCTAATTAACTAACATCTTTATTTTTATGAACCAAAGCTAGCAGCATCACTAAATGAAATGAATACAAGTGATCTGGTGGAGGTTGGCACAAGGGGAAGCATAGGATCACTTCTGAGGAAAGAGATTGAGTATTTCAGAACACTTGAATTAGAATGTAACTGGGCTTTTATTGAATCTCAGAAGACTAATAGCTATATGAAAATGGATTCCAGTGGTTGCTGTTGTTGGCATAGTTTCGTATCCTCTACGATGAAATGGAAAAAGAAGAGAAGAATAAATAAATGCCTACCTGCAATGTGTTCTATAGAGAAGGAAATCATCCGGTTCAGTCACTCAGAGATGGATTTAGGACAAGTTCTATGGCTTTAACTAAACCTGTACTATCTGCTCAAACTGTGTAAGTATGTATACATATAATAAGATCACACTCATTCTTAACTAACCGACTCTAGATTCTGGATTGCCTCTGTAGCTACTGGAATCATGAGGTCGGTCCTAACAGATACGAGGATGAAATAAGACTAATAGAGCATTGATCCATCAGTTTTCTTTAGATTCTACTCTTTGTTTTCTGAATTTCTTATCAAAACTCAAAATCTTTTGTATATCTTAAACATCAAAAAGTAGAGAAGTCTGCAATCAGCAATAACCTAAAAAGGCCATCTTTTTTTCTGCCTTTCTTGGCTGGAGAGAAAATTGGTAAAATCAGGACAAAAAAGAGTTACTTCATCTTATGAGACACAATTAGTTTCTGTTGTTAAGTCCTTTAGACACAACTCATCAGCACTATACTCTACTTCTGTCTTGCTAATTGTGACTTCATCATCTCTTGGCATGGCTAAGTACTCAAGAGCTGTAACAACATCACTAATCAAAGGTCTCGTGTAGGCTTCGTCTTGGATACACATATTTGCAATAGCAAGAGCTTGATGAAGTTCCATAACAGGGTAATTTCCTCCGAGCAACGGATCAGCCATTTCAGTGAGCATGTTCTTATCTTTAAAAAGTGGTTTGGCCTGAAAAAAGGGTGTTGCCTCATTTTATGTATGGGAAACTAACTATAAAGATGACAAAATAATAAATATGAAAGAGGTAGCAACTTCATTAACTAACCCAAGAAATCAAGTTTTGCTCTTCTGGTGGTCTTGTATTATCAATAGCTCTTCTCCCTGAAATAAGTTCCAACAGAACAACTCCAAAACTATATACATCAGATCTTGATGTCAACTGTTCTGTCATAGCATACTCTGGTGCACAGTATCCATAGGTCCCCATAACCCTTGTAGAAACATGATCCTCGCCTTCCGCTGGACCTAACTTAGCAAGCCCAAAATCTGAGAGCTTAGGAATAAGACACTCATCTAATAATATGTTGGATGCTTTGAAATCGCGATAGATTATGGGAGGATTGGCAATATCATGCAAGTATTCTAGCCCTTGCGCTGCACCTTTAGCTATCTTCATTCTGGTATACCAATCCAATGGCTTCTTATTTGATGGAAAATCTGAGTTAGCATATGAATTAGTAAGTATTATACAAAGCAACAAAGTGTTCATAGAACACTTTACTAGTACACTCTTTAAGTTCAGCTCAATGGAGTAAGGACAATATGAATTAAGCTGTTCATACCAAGAAGATGATCTTCTAAAGATCCATTCTGCATGAATTCGTAGACAAGAATTCTCTGGTTGCCATCAGCACAATATCCTATCAGATTGACAAGATTCGGATGATTAATGAGACTTAAATTCAAGACTTCTGCAAGAAATTCTCTGTTTCCTTGAACCCCATTCCTGTCAAGTTGTTTGACAGCAACAACCTGGAGACAAAAAAACTCATTTGATGAACAAACTGAAAAAAGGTGTTCTATTACTAGTAGTTAATAACCACAATAAAAGAAGAAATCATGGTAAAAAATACATCTGAACTCTCACTTTTTTGCGAGTTTCACACCCCAACTATCAACTGTTTTCTTTTCGTTCATTATAGGAAAAGGGAACAATTGATAGTTGGGGTATGAAGCTCACGAAAATGCAATAGTTCAGATGTGTTTTTGACGATTAACACAAAAATAAGGACATACTTGGTCAGTTCTTTTGAGGTGTCCCTTATAGACCCTCCCAAATCCTCCTTCACCAACTAGAAACTCAGGATTGAAGTTGTCTGTCGCATGAGCTAACTCGCGGAATGTGAATACTTCTGCTGAAATGTTTACATTTCCATATCTAAGTATATCTTCAGCCATCATATTCTGCTTGCCGACCCCTGCTCAGTTATTGAATTACAACACATTTACTGAACAAGTTTAAGAATCAAACAACTTCTCAATGAAGGCTAGAATACTACTGTTACAACAACATACGCCTCAATTCCAAGCAAGTTAGGGTCAGCTACACTAATCCTCATTCTCCGTATCGTTTCATTTAAGTAAGTTTTACTACAAGACTCCAAGAAATCATTGTACCTAGAGTAAACATACTAAATGACTAAAAAAAATTAATCTTAGTTATATGATATCGCCAATATCGATCTTGTTTCTTCGATCACATCCTATTTCTCGTTAGTTCTTCATGGATTCCAAGAGATTATGGGTCCTTCAAGACGATTTCTATCACCACAGTTTCACATATTGTCCGATGCATTTAGAGGTCAATGCAAGACATGACCAAAAAGGCATGTTAAAGAGATCACTGTCTCCAATATTTTAAAACTAAATCTCAATATAAAGGATCTAGATCATCGCGTATTCTCAGCTAACCCCAGTATATTCAACAGATAAATAAAAATACTTGTGAGTTAAAATTACCAAAGTTTCAACAAATATTATATTTCAAATATATCATTAAATTTAAATCTTAGATTCACTTATCGAGATATCTCAACCTGGATGCATAGTAGCACTTCTAAGCATGGTAGCCAATCCCTCAGAATCATCATATTTACTAGTTGTTCTTGTCTCATATACAGAACTCCTAGAGGATTTCAAATGAGTTTTCCTCATATTTTTTTTTTGTAGCTTCTTCAACAACAACAACAAACAAAAAAAGAAGATCAAATTCTTTCCTATTCCCTCTTATTTGGTTTTAGCAAGACAATCCCTTTATGTCTTGCAATAAAAAACCAACTAAATTTGATCCAACATTATCCAAGTAGGTAATGTAGAGGGGAAGGTGAAGAATTTGATTCAACTTCAATGAAAAAAAAAGGGATACTTCTATAAAAAATTTAAGATTGAAAAAAAAAAGAACAATAGACTACAATTTTGTATTTTAATTGAAAATTTCAAAGAATTAGATGTAGATTGAATGATGTTAAGACTCGTGTCATTTGGACATAGTGGAATAGAAAATTTAATCCGATATTTATGTGCTAATATATGGACTATATGGAATTTAAGGCCTCTTTTGTCTTAACTAACTTTTTGCAAGGTGATTGGTTAATGTAATTAAGATTCAATTATTTGTATCATTAATTTTAGCTAGTATACTTTACTCCATTAGTTAGTGTAATTTTTATAACTGGAGGTGACGTGTATGTAACTTTATATCGTTTTTGGTTTGTGTTTTTAGGAAGGATTTCTTTTGTATTGATACAAATTATTAGTTATTGTCAGCCTTAAAAACACTCTACTTAGCTAATTAAACGACTTTCGATCTGCCACATGACATAACTTGTAATCTCAAACTTTTGTAGGAGCATAAGACTCCTAATAAAAAATCGAAAAAAGTGTTGAAAATATCTCCAAATTTAGGGAGTATTGAAAAATCATAGGTGTATTCAAATTCAGATAATCAAATAAAATAATATTTTTTAAGAATATAAATAATTGGAGAATGAAATTAGTAATTCAAGCTCGATAACACGTGTCAAGTTTGTTTGCCTCGTCGGACCGCTCTGCTAAACCCTCGCAAAAAAACCTTACTCCATCTCGATGTGCATGAAAATGCTGCTACATCAATGGCGATTTTCAGATCAATCGGAACCCTAATTTCTCGAAATCGTAAGCTCAATTCGAACTGTCTCACTTCTTCTACAATCTTGTTTACCCAACAATTTTCGTCTTCCTCATCGTCAACGATTCAATTGACGCCATTACTTAACTTTGACCGCCGGGGCCGCCACTTCCTCTCTCCGTTCGCTGCCGCCGCTAATTTCTGTCCTCTATTCCTTTCTTCACCTCCTTGTAAGCTTTCTCAGTCTGCAACTTCTCTACATCTTCAATCCGATTTCCTTCTCGTTTTTCCTAGAGTGAGTTCTCTTAGATTACAATTTCCGTACAAGTTATGCTTCCAATCGACACAGAGATTGCAAATTGAGAGAAATGAAAAGGAATGGAAAGAGTCTCAGCTGGCTGTTGAAGTTAGGGATAGTTTCCTCAATTTGCCCAACTTGATATCCTTGAGTAGAATGATATCCGGTCCATTTCTCGCATGGTAAATTTTTGCTCTCTCTTTCCCTTTTTGCTTACCTGAGAATTGGTTGCAATAGTTTATTCAACCTACATTTTTGTATGGAGGAAAGTGGAAACTGCTTTACATTGAAATATCAGGCTCATTTGCCAGTGTTTGGCTTGTATAAATGGTTTAATTTGTTTGTCTGACTTGACATAGAGTTTAAGAAAGTAAAAAAAAGACCTCTTGTCATCTTAAACTAAAATATGTAAAATGTATAAGCCTTTTAATCTTGTGGTTAAACATATCACGTGGAAAGTTGGAATTTAAGAGTTGCCAACAAGTAAAAAAACATTCTTTTTGAAATAAGACAAACAAATTGAAATTGAACTGGAGTGTGTGCTAATTATACAAGGAAAACTATAGTGTGTATAATGATAGTATTTTGGTGATGTTTTATATTATTAAAAATTGACAACAACTTTTAATAAATGTTGGATATGGAGTTAAAGTACTGATATTTTTGAAGTAAAATGACTTCTGGCCATAAGTGACTGAAGTTATTTTCTGTTCTTGGTGGAAATTTACCATAACCAGATACTAGAAAATGGTTTAATCAAGGAAAACATTTCTCTAAAACATTTTGCACCATACAAGATACACCTGTACTGTAGAAAGACAAAGTGAGCCTATGGTGCTTTAATAACCTCGTGGGCATTTACTTTCATCATCGCAGTATGAGTATTTCTTTATTTCAGAATGCAGAAGAACTTCATATCTTGACATTTATATTTCATGATTCAGACAATTGTGGGTGTTTAATTCAGTTAATTTTAGCTCTGTAATTGAACTTGTAGAAGAAGAAACTTGAAAGAGACATGAGAAAGTAAAAGACAACAAATATTTTATGCACTTAGCTGTATGCCTTAGCATTTGAACTCTGAAAGTATTCAAGAACTAGTACAAGGACAAGCAATGATTGAGTTTGTCATTTTCCTTCGCTAAGCATTATTTTTTGTTTGGGACCGAGTTGTTGTTGTTGTAATCATTATGTTTGTTTATCATAAATTGGATCATGTGAATGCCATGAACATGATCACCTTGGTTTTCTTGAATCTGGCTGTGCTTAGGATTGAGGTGTAGTTGGAGACTAATTATCTTCCTTGGTCAAACATTATGTTTACTTATCATTAATTAGATATTGTGGATTCTTTGGATATGATCAGCTTTGTTATCTTGAATGTGGTTGTGCTTCTATGCCATAAGCATAGCTTGCATGGTAAAATCTGTATGTGAAGGCCACAAAACGTTTAGACTGCAAATTGACACGATGTTATCATTCTGCTGTAGTTAAGCTACAAATTAAACATATACTCCTTTAATTCCCATTGCTGTGTAAATATTGCAGGATGATTATACATGATATGTATCTTCCTGCATTTGTTGGGCTAGCTGTTTCTGGGGCAACTGATTGGGTGTGTGGCCCCATTCTTCTTCTCCTTGAAAAGGAATTATGCTCAGCTTTCTAATTTAGTTTCACTCTATGCCTTGTAGCTAGATGGATACATGGCTAGGAGGATGGGGATAAATTCTGTTGTTGGTTCTTACCTTGATCCTCTTGCTGACAAGGTAACTATTTAAACTGCTCTCCTATCTGGTTCATTGACCTAACCAGTGACCAAAATTCTGATTTGTGATTCATTCATGTTCTCTTCATTGTTTCACTGAATTTGTTTTCCGTTCATTCCTGTTTCTTTCTTGTTTCTCTTTTTTCATTTGCTTCTTTTGTGGATAAAATGTCGCTTATCTTGGGATTTCAGATACTTATTTCTTGGCCTTCTTATCACTATACCTTTTATACCTACAGGTTCTTATTGCATTTGTTGCTCTGGCAATGGTAGACAAGGGTCTTCTTCATCGTAAGTTCATATCCCATTTGGATTTACCTGCATAGACTCTTTTCCAGGTTACTAAAGAGTGATTTTTAGTTCTCCATCACTGACTGCCTTCCAATAAAAAACAGAATTGGCTGCATGAATTCTCTGAAACTATTTACTATGTGCAGGCAGATTTCACTCCAATACTAACTAATTTGTCTTTCTAAATCTCACACTTATCCTTGAGTTGTCATGCGAGTCTTTAACCGGACCTAATGTAAGTGTGACAACAACAGCTCAATCTACTCTTTTACTACTTCAGTATCTCCTCTGTGGATCATTCACTTTCTTTGGAGTTATCCATGAAAAAAAGTTAATGCTGGTCTTTCTTTTTGCTTTATTGAATATCCTATCCGATGCTTGAAGTTCATATGATCGATCAATTACATTTTGTTTTAGTCATCTATATGCATGCCCTTCAGCTCTTTATCTTTCCTCCCAAGTTTAGCATGCTGCACAGTTTAGATTGTTGATAAGCTTGTACTAACCCACCTTCACCTTTAAAAAAAGATTGTTGAAAAGCTTGTAACAAATCACCCTGAGATCATAATATAATATTCTGAACATTAGATTTCATGCTTAGTGCTAATAAACATCTTAGTTGACCTTTATAAAAACAAGAAAAGATCATACCCGTACTTGGCAAACCTGATATGTTCATAGAAATCTGCGCCTTACTTACCTATAGTTTTTCCTTTTGTCTTTGTCATTATTAAGGTTTAAGGAATGAGAATTTCTCATTCTTTTTTTGGATAGATAATTAAGTCCTAGTTCTGATCTAAAATTTGATCCTCTAATTGTACTGACTAGTTCAAGTTAAGATTACAGGTCTGTAGACTGTAGGCATGTCTTGGTATTTTCCTTTATCTGATGATCAATTGTCTTGCTCTCGAAATGTGTACACTACTTATACGACATCAATTTCCCTGGCTTGAGGCTCGATTGAACGAAATATAAATAAGAGATATGTCAGTGATCCATATGCGATGCTACTGCTTGTTGAGGCCTTTCTGCCCACATATCTACTAAAAAATACATTTGATTGCCAAAAGTGTTTAGATGTATTGCTTACCTAGTTGGATCTCTAATTATTTGTGGATTTTCAAAATGAAGAGGAAAGGTTGCACTTTGTTTTCAGAAACTTACTTTCTTGGTTTTATGCTGTGAAGCTGGACTAGTTTCCCTGGTTGTGCTGCGTGATGTGGCCCTTGTTGGTGGTGCGGTATATAAAAGAGCTAGCATTTTAGAGTGGAAGGTGACGTTGGGTCTGCCTTAAGGTTCAGTAATAGTAATCTGCAGTATTGTTTTTACTCATATTACTTGGTTTTAACATTGTTTGCAGTGGTCAAGCTGGTATGAATTCTTCAACCTTGATGGAGCCCGTCCTCAGAAAGTTGAGCCTCTTTTGATAAGCAAGGTATAGCACATGTTCATTGAAGCTCTTTTTAGGCAACTGGAAAGGAATAACTGAGAGGATAGCTTGTAATTTTACACGAACAATTTTGCAATATATTTCCCGGTTCATAAGTAAAACAACATATTGTATCTGGGATTATGGGGTCTGCGGAGGGTGGTGTGTGTGCAGACCTTACCCCTACCTTGTAGAGATAGAGAGGCAAACTAGTATTCCAGTTCATAACTATATTGAAACATGTACAGGTAAATACAGTTCTGCAATTGGCCCTTGTTGCTGCAGCTCTCCTTCAACCGGATCTGGGTAATGCGGAAACTCAAACATATATCACTCACCTCAGGTGAGTTACAACTGTACCTCTTTGTTTTATTTCTTCACAAATATATAGTACTCAATACCATTCTGGTTTGTTGCAGTTGGCTAGTAGCCATGACAACGGTAGGTTCAACTGCGGCCTATGGAGCACAACACCTTAGGGGTGGAGCTACATGGA